GAGCACTTGCGACGACTCCGAGCTGTTCTTCAAGCCATACGGACCGCTGGACTCACCCTCCAGCCGTCAAAGTGTCGGTTCGCCTATAACGAACTGAAGTTTCTAGGTCACGTGGTTAGCAACGAAGGCGTACGCCCAGACCCTGAGAAGACTCGCGCCGTCGCGTCATTTCCAGTGCCGACAGACAAAAAGGCCGTGCGAAGATTTTTTGGACTTTGCGCCTACTATCGTCGCTTCGTTCGGGATTTCGCACGGATTTCCGCACCGCTCACAAACCTCACGAAGGACGCCGAGAGGTTCGAATGGGCCGAGAAACAACAGCGGGCATTCGACGAGCTGAAGCGACGACTCCAGACGCCTCCGGTTCTTGGACATTTCGATCAGGATGCGGACACCGAGATTCACACTGACGCAAGTAACGCAGGACTTGGCGCGGTACTAGTTCAAGTACAAGAAGGCACCGAACGAGTCATCGCCTACGCAAGTCGTACACTGTCCAAGGCAGAAAGAAATTACTCCACGACTGAGAAAGAATGCCTTGCGGTCGTCTGGGCAATCACGAAGTTTCGTCCGTACTTGTACGGAAGCCCGTTCCGCGTAGTCACGGACCACCACTCGCTCTGCTGGCTTGCGAACCTCAAGGACCCGTCAGGACGCCTCGCTCGGTGGAGCCTCCGGCTACAAGAGTTCAACATGACTGTGGTTTACAAGTCAGGACACAAGCACAGCGACGCTGACTGCCTGTCCAGGGCCCCTGTCGAAACACCTTCCGGCAGCAGCGACGACGATGATGACGAGATCTTTCTAGGGGCAGTGAACACCGATGACATGGCACGACGTCAACGAGACGATCCGGAGCTGCGAGCCTTAATCGAGCACCTGGAAGGGCGCGGCGGTACCGTACCCCGTGTTTTCTCACGAGCCGTGCCGACCTTCACCATTCGACAAGGTGTACTCTACAAAGAGAACTTCGGGAACAACAACTCGCCGTGGCTGCTAGTAATCCCGACCGACCTTCGAGGGGAGATCTTTCAAGCATGTCACGACGACCCGACGTCCGGACACCTTGGATACAGCCGGACACTGGCCCGTATTCGTGAAAAGTATTACTGGCCCAAGCTCCCCAAGACCGTCCACCTGTACACACGATCATGCCACGAGTGCCAGCGACGCAAGAAACCTCCGACGAGGCCGGCCGGACTCCTGCAGCCTATTTCTCCTCCAACTGCACCCTTCCAGCAGATCGGAATGGATCTACTTGGTCCTTTTCCGCCTTCGACGTCGGGGAACCGCTGGATCATCGTCGCCACAGATTATCTCACGCGGTACGCCGAAACGAAAGCTCTTCCTTCGGGGACTGCTGTGGATGTTGCCAAGTTTTTCATTGAGTCCATCGTCCTCCGGCACGGCGCTCCAGAAGTTCTGATTACAGATCGCGGATCATCGTTCATGGCACAACTGACCCAAGAAATCTTCCGACTCAGTCACACCAGCCATCGTCGTACAACTGCGTACCACCCGCAGACCAACGGGCTGACGGAGCGACTCAACAAGACAATCGCCGATATGATCTCTATGTACGTCGACGTAGAGCACAAGACGTGGGACGAGGTGCTGCCCTACGTCACGTTCGCTACAATACGGCGGTTCAAGAGACCACTGGATTCACCCCTTTCCAGCTGGTACATGGTCGGAAGGTAACGACCATGCTGGACGCCATGCTGCCCCATGAGCCATCTGACAACGAGAGCGACGACGCCCAGGCGGTTGCTCAACGCGCCGAAGAAGTTCGCCAGCTCGCCCGACTCCTGATTCAAGACCAGCAACGCGTCGACGCCGGCCGCTACAACCTTCGTCGCAGGGACGTCCACTTCCAGCCCGGAGATAGGGTGTGGGTATGGACGCCCATCCGTCGCCGCGGCCTCAGTGAGAAACTGCTCAAACGATACTTTGGACCATACAAGGTACTTCGTCGCCTCGGCGAGCTGAACTACGAGGTGATGCCCGACGGAACACAAACATCGTCACGCCGCCCACCACGACCTGAGGTCGTCCACGTCGTGCGCCTGAAGCCGTACTACGCTCGATAGGACTGTGGACCTTTTGTGCTCCAAAAGACTCTTTAGTTTATCGTTCTTTTTTATTTTGATTTGTTCTACACTGCATCGGGGCGATGCACTTTTAAAGGGGGGAGTAATGCCGCGCGCAAGGCTGAGAAAGCAACGCTCGGTCACGGTCCTCCAGAAAGTTCCCGTTTATTCATGTACCGCACGTAACTTCTATCATTTATCCCTGCTTTTGTTTTTTAGAAAGTGCGTGTTCATTCTCGCCCCGATCACGCGACGCTCGAACCGCTTTCGCCGAATCTTCGAGATAGCGGCGCACTCTAGATAAGAGGCCGCCCGCGACCTTGTCGAGTCAGTCTCGCCCTAGCGCTCGATTCTGCTGACACGCCGACTTCGACGCCCGCGACGCTCTGCTTTCTTCTGTTTTGCTTCTTTATTTTTGGCACAAGTTCGCCACATTAAACGTTTATTTATTTCTGTTTATTTCTTGTTTATTGGTCACGACTCACCACCCGTGACAATATAAATTATGAAGCAAATCACGAAACAAATCGTAAAACGCTATTTTTCCTGCCGCTCTGTCCGGCTCTGTCAACCTTTCTTTGCCATGCTTCTTTCTTGCGGGAAGACATAATATCCGAGGCCTTTTGCCTGGTGCTGTTATTATTAGCCCCGAGAAGTTCTCGTGGCGCCCCCTTACGGCGAACCGGGGTGACGTCACGGGGAGGAGAGAATTTTTCCCCGACTCGGCCCGCTCGACATGTGGAGGCTGTGACGACGCTAGCTGACGGCGCGCTCGTTTCTATTTAATTTTTTGGCGTGTTTTTCGTAGGAAGTGTAAATTTTTATGCGAGCCTTTATTGAGGTATGGCCCGTAGCTGATTGACAGGGCAGGCGACGCATGAATTGGAGTGGTATATGAAAATAAAGAAATATGGCCACAATTGCAGGAGCATTACTAAAGATTTACATCTCGCACGATAAATGCTGCTGATGGTCTGAATGAATTGGCAGGTTATGTATACTATTTTTTTTTGTATCTCTGTTTTTACACAAGATCGCCGAAGCAGGAAAACTGCATGCTACTCGAGCAACATGTTAAATACAGTCTGGGCCATCAAGAAAGAATCACAAGTAAGACAGCCCAAGTGCGAAAGAAAAGAGAAAGAAAATAATAAAAAAACAAGGAACATTTATTATATAAATTGCTTGCATTTGACCTTGCTGGATTCGGATAGTATTTCAATGGACTACACGGGTGGTATTTGTGGACTTGTTTATATCAACCCTCAAGGAATGTATAACAAACGTAAGCGAAGGTGTCTTGCTCGTTATTAGCCCCTTAAGCCCTATAATTGAGAGTTTACTTAAATCAAATTGTCCTGAAGCTAAAATACCACAAGCTTTTCTCACGCAGACTGTCGCCCTTCACAGGTTCCACATTTTCTGCTGCTGGTGCTGCATCTACCACTGGACAGACGTTCGAATACTCGCTTTTACTCCTGTTTCCCTCTGATGTCAGAGAGTCCAGCTGTAGGGAGTTTGGAGGCTGAGGAAGCTTTTGGGGACCTGCAGCAGTGTCTCTTTTAATTGGAAATGACAATTCAGACTAAACGGTGTATTTTCGGAATAGGCTGAAATAAAGAATGTCAGGAAAAAGTATTGTTGTGGAAGACAAAGACTCGCACAGTAAAGAGTGTTGTGCAAGACGAAGAATCGAAGAATATCACACCGTAAAGAGTGTTGTGCAAGACGAAGACTTGCAAATACAGGGAGGAAGAGGAAGATTAGAGTGTGCCAGTGAGAGAATGGACGCCATTAAAGGCTGACGGCGAACCTGACGAAACAAAGCCTTCGAATTGCCTTCTGCCATAACAATTGGTGTCAGAAGTGGGACAGCGTTTACCACAGGCGATAGTTTGTGGCAATTCAAGGTAATGCCCTTTGGCCTTTGCAACGCGCCAGCGACTTTCGAGCGCCTCATGGACAAGGTTCTTCAAGGCTTGCCCCTCAATGTGTGTCTCGTATACCTTGATGACATATTGGTGCACGGAAAGACTTTTGAAGCTGCTCTTCATCATCTGTCAGACGTCTTCGAGCGCCTAAGACAAGCGAACCTAAAATTAAATCCTAAAAAATGCTCACTATTCCAGAAAAAAGTTCGGTACTTAGGCCACATTGTCTCTGAGAAGGGGATGGAGACAGACCCCGACAAGACGGACTGTAATTCGAAACTGGCCTCAACCACAGAGTCATCGTGAACTCAAGAGTTTCTTAGGCCTATGTACCTACTACCGACGTTTTGTCAAGAACTTTGCTACCATGGCCAAACCACTCTATACGTTGACAGAACAGAACACGAAATTTCACTGGAACATGCAAGCCGAGGAGGCTTTTCTTCAACTCAAGAATACCCTTACTTCACCTCCTATTCTCGGATTTCCCCATCCGAAATCGTCAGTTCGTCCTGGACACGGATGCAAGTAACGTTGGTGTTGGTGCAGTCTTGTCACAGAGGATGGAACTGAACGGGTAATTGCGTACTACAGTCAGGTATTAAAGAAAGCAGAACTAAACTATTGCGTCACACGAAAGAAACTGTTGGCCGTAGTTAAAGCTGTAGGACATTTTCACCATTATCTCTACGGCAAGCACTTCCTCTTAAGGACCGATCACGCGTCCCTCACCTGGCTTTTGAATTTTAAGAACCCTGAAGGACAAGTTGCAAGGTGGTTGGAGCGTTTACAACAGTAGTAATTTAATGTCCAACACCGAGCTGGTAGGAGACACATGAACGCCGATGCACTCTCGCGAAGGCCTTGCTCACGAAAAGATTGCTACCCCTGCCTTGATGCTGAAGTGCACTCCGACCTCAACAGCACGGATCCACCGTCTCAGTCAACGGTCACGCGACAGGCGGTGATCTCGCGTCCATCAACCGATGATGATCCCACTGACTGGAGTGACGAAACCTTGCGTGCGCTTCAAAGAGAGGACGGCAATATTCGGCTTTTTATACAGTGGAAGCAAGAAGGCGAAAGGCCGGATTGGTACCTGGTTGCACCACACAACCATGTCGTCAAAGCGTACTGGGCTCAATGGGATTCTCTCCTCATACAAAACGGCCTCCTGTTTCGCTGCTGGGAAAACAACAATGGAGTTAACGTTTCCCTTCAACTTGTCCTGCCTCAAGTGCGAGTCAAAACTGTGCTGCAGGAACTCCATGACAATCCTACGGGCGGACATTTTGGGGTACACAAAACTCTACAGAGAGTGCGTGACAGATTCTACTGGGTTGGCGCCAGCCGGGACGTGCGCGAATGGTGCAGAGGCTGTGACCACTGCACATCGCGCAAAGGACCTCCCTCTCGTTGCCGAGGACAGATGAGAACATACAACGTCGGCGTGCCGTTTGAGCGAGTAGCCATTGACGTCGTAGGGCCACTACCAGAAACAAGAGAAGGAAATCGGTATCTAATAGTAATTGCAGACTACTTCACAAAGTGGCCAGAAGCTTTCCCTGTTCGTAAGTACGACGCAGCAACCATCACTCGAATCTTGCTTACAGACATCGTATCGATTAACGGAGTGCCCCTAGAAATCCATTCTGATCAGGGACGCACTTTTGAGTCGCAGACCTTCAAGAATTAGAGCACAGCACTTGGCATAAAGAAAACTAGAACAACACCATTACATCCACAGTCGAACGGTATGGTGGAGAGGCTCAACCGGACCCTTAAGCAATACCTATCTCTTTTCGTCAACGAGCACCAGGACAACTGGGACGAACTGGTTCCCCTCTTTTTACTTGCCTACCGTTCAGCTGTCCACGCAGCAACAGGGTACACACCATCAATGTTGCTCATGGGGAGAGAACTAAGAATACCTGCGGACATTATGTTCGGTACTCCGGCGCCACCACCACGGGAGCCAACACGTGAAAATGTTCACTTAGACCACGCTCTACATTTACGGAAGAAATTGGAATGTGTCCATGACTTCGCACGAAGGCATTTACAACTCAGCAGCAGCCATGCAGAGACTCACTACAATCGAAGCGCGTCCAGAAACCAACTGGAACCTGGAGATTTAATGTGGCTACACAGACCAACTAGAACCAAAGGTCGTAGTCCAAAACTACAACGAAACTGGGATGGCCCCTACGAGATCATCAAGAAACTGAACGATGTTGTCTACCGGATCCGCCATGTTAACAACCATAAACCTCAGACAGTCCATTTCGATCGTCTCGCACCATACCACACTAAGTGAACACTTACGCGGGCCTCGGGACGAGAGCCTCTACAGGGAGGGGTGCAGTGTTGTGGAAGACAAAGACTCGCACCGTAAAGAGTGTTGGGCAAGACGAAGAATATCACACCGTAAAGAGTGTTGTGCAAGACGAAGACTTGCAAATACAGGAAGGAAGAGGAAGTTTAGAGTGTGCCAGTGAGAGAATGGACGCCATTAAAGGCTGACGGCGAACCCGACGAAACAAAGCCTTCGAATTGCCTTTTGCCATAACAGTATAAACATTCTATATTACGGCACTATTGCCGTTTATAGTCTGGCAGTTCAATACATATCATACAAACAACTGGGGGCAATTCGGCCGTTTTTGCTGCTACCATACAAACTAATTTCCAGTAATTGTGCAGCTTCTAATAAACATGCCTGCATACGTGTATAAACTATATAATTTATTCGCGAAGAAGCTACATTTATGTAAAACAACCCTGTTCCATGAGCACTTTCAAGATCATCAGACGCACGGCCTTTAAAACATCTGCGAACCAGCGCATGCAGAGTGGCAGCGCAGAGTCAGGGTCGCGAGCTAATTTGCCGACCACCCAAAGGTCCATGATATAAATGCCACTTCAAATGCCTTGAAAGCGGGATCTAATATCGTCTTAAATTATGAACGTGCAAGGAACAGAATTCCAGCGTCTAAAACGCTCGCGCCATCGCTTCACCGACCCCTCGCAAGATTGCCTTGTGTCGTGTGGACGGACGGGGAGGTTCATCGGCGGAATTGCCTCCGCCGAAAGCTTTCGGGATTTGTAACCCAATTTTAAAGGTAAAAAGGGACAAGCAGGCTTAAAAATGTACGGAAGCACGTCAATACCGGCCTAGCTCAACGACTTGCACACCAGGTAAACGAAGTCCAACTCCTCGAAGAGCTTGCGGCGCACAATGCCAAACCAGGAAACCGGTGCTGGGAGGCGAGCCGATGCGAGATCGCGGAGCGGAGTACTCCCCCTGACGTCACAGTACACCTCACCCAATCCGGGCGCGGCGACCGCAGCGACGCTTCTGCTCGATCTCAGGGCTAATAGCTCTGTGGCATACAACATGTGAAGCCACCGATTGAAAACCATGAGTCAACACCTGGCTAAAAGTCTGGTGCTTACCCGAAAATTTCCAAACGCCGGGCGTACAATGCGCGCCGACGCGGCCGGAAAACTGGGGAGAACTACAGGTACCAGAATGCACCGCGGCAGCGGTGGCGTCGCGCAACTCCTCGTGAGATCGGTCTACTGGTGTCCTAGGGATATTTCACAGCCTCGAGCTGAGAGTTGAGTATCCTTTTGCACAGGTGCGTAGGTGTCAGAACGGTGTCAGAACGGTCAGAACATCCCCCGAAATTTTACCTTATATATATATATATATATATAGAGAGAGAGAGAGAGAGATAGAGATAGAACTATAGATAGATAGATAGATAGATAGATAGATAGATTGTGTGTGAGAGCATTAGCACCTAGAAACACCCCCCGAAAATATTTTCTGGCTACGCCACTGCTTCTGCAGTTAGAAAAGCTTCAAGAGCGGCCATCGCAGGAGGAGGACACAACTTTATTTATATTCTATTGGATTTGTAGGGTCAAGCCGATACGTGGAGAGACGGCCACGTGTTGTCCAAGGCCCATCCCATGTACTCTTCTACGATGAAGCAGAAGAGGGGGAGGGTAGCAAACCCCAGACCGCGGCGGCTTCCTCGGCCCAGTCGCAGATTTCCTTCTGGACGTCCGCTTCTGAGCTGTGCATCAGCGCGTTCCACTGCTCCGTATCATTGCATGCGAATGGCATCCTGTCGTTAAGAGGGGAATTTGGACACTCCCACATAATGTGGGATAGTGTAGCTCGCGAGGAGCAGAATTTACATACTTCCGAGTGTAGTTCCGGCAACCAGTGTGAATAAAGGGCAGGATTTGGATAGGTGTTTGTTTGGAGTCGTCGCCAGGTCCATTCCTGGCTCTTGGTTAGCGATTTGTGTCCCGCAGGAAGGGTCCTGCGTGCTAATCTATATGATTGCGTAATTTCTTGGTACGAGGTCAGTGTGTCTCTGTGACTGACCGGCTCGTTACCTGTTCCCGTTATTGCCCCCCGTGCCCGGTATGCTATAGCTCTCGGGCGGTGGTATGGGCGGCTTCGTTTCCGGGGAGGGAGGTATGAGCTGGGGCCCAGATTAGACTGACCATGTCGTTAGGAATTTTGGAGGAGCGTGTTAGAACTCTGAGGGTAGCCTCAGAGACCCTGCCCCTCGCGAAGTTAAGAATTGCGCGCTTAGAGTCCGATATGATTGTTTGAGTGTTGGGGACAAGGAGGGCTATGGCAATAGCGACCTCTTCCGCTGTTTCCGAATTGGTTGTTAGGATCGAGCCCCCGGAGAGGAGGACCCCATGGCCGTCGGTGGCGACCATGGTCATGGCCTTTAGGTGGGGATAGTCTGCAGCGTCCGTGTACACGACGCCCTCAAGCTGGCCGTATCGTTTGTGGAGTGCCGCGCTTCGAGCTCTCCTGCGGTCTGGGTGGTGTTCCGGATGCATGTTTTTGGGAAGCGGGGGAATGTGGAGATTGGCTGTGATGGCATGTGGAAGCGTGTGTTTCGGGCTTGATGAGCTCTCGTGATGAATGCCTAGTTTCTGTAGAATGGCTCTACCTGTATGTGTGGTAGTGAGACGTGTGTATTGCGAGAAGAGATGTCCCTCGATCATCTCTCCTACCGTGTTGTGCAGTCCTAGGGCTAGCAACTTATCGGTAGAGGTGGTGGGGGGGAGGCCTAACGCCGTTTTGTAAGCCCCCCTGATGATGCGATTGAGTTTATCGCGTTCAAGTTTTAGTGGTCTCATGTATGGAGCCGCATACGTCACTCTGCTAATGACGAAGGCCTGGATCAGCCGCAGCAGATCTGCTTCCCCCATCCCAGAGTGACGGTTGGCTATGCGGCGTATGAGACGCGATGTCTGCTGAGTGGCTAACTCTAGCCTTCTAATCTGTTCGGTGTTGTGACCGTTGGATTGAAAGGTCATTCCTAGTATCAGGGGCGGCGCCAGGATTCCTTACCCGGGGGGGCGGAACATGTTTATTTTACTCCAAGGGGGGGGGGGGGGGGGGGGGGGGCGTGCGTGTGTTTTATTTGTGTATGTTTAACTTACCGTTTGGCTGCTTAATGAAACTTGGCTTAACCAACTCGAATACCGCCACTGTGCGACCGTTCTGCGACGAAGGCTCAGCAATTGATATTTCGGTTGTACGCTTTCATCAAATATGAAGTTGTCCTCAGTTCCTTACCTGCATGCGTAAGATGTCCTTCGTTATAATTCTGACACAAGGGCAAGCAGCGCTTGTACTGTGTACACCTCTTCTACTTTGTCTGTATTTTTGTGCGCTTTTTGCCCTTTCGTCTGTATGCACCAACTACCCCACATCGCCTCACTTATTCAGTAATAATTCTGCATTTCAACCCGCCGAAATTTTGTTTTGCTTTTGAATTGAAAACATCAGGTATGGAATTTGTTTTGCGTTCTGTTTTGTGCGTCAGACTGCAAAAAAAAAAAAAAAAAAACAGGTGAGGAAAAAAGATTAAAAAAATGTGTCACTGGAAAGCATAATCTGTCGTGTACGATCTCAGCCATACTTCAGTCGCAAAGCAGCGAGCGTTGGCTGCGAATAAGTAGAAATACTTACTCGCAGCCAACGAATTAGAACAAAATTTTACGATTCTGACATATTTGAATAATTGAATCTATTATATTTTAAAAAGTGTCGTTATATAACGCAGGAATAGCAAGCAGTATAAAATAATACATACATATTAGGGAAGAACGTTTTTAAAGACTCAATTTATTTACAACAAGCCCATTCTGAATAATTAGAAACAAAACACTCCCCGAAATAATTTTCGGACCCCCCAAAATATTCCGCATCAGTCAGGAAACGCGAAATAGAAGGTCATATGAATACAGTAGTCCTAGGGAGCAAACTTGAAGAATACAGATCACGAAACGAGAAGCATAATGTGATATAGAACAGAGCGGTTCAAGGGAGAAAAATCGAAATATACAGATCACCAAACACGAAGTACAAGCTCATAGGGACACAACGCAGTTCAGGTGAGCAAGAGTGAAATATACAAATCACGAAACGCGAAGCATAAGGTCATAGGAACAAGACGGTTCAAGGGAGCCAGATCGAAATATGCAGATCAAGGAACACGAAGCACAAGATAATAGCGACACAACGCGGTTAAAGAAAGCAAGATCGAAATATGAAAATCACAAAACGCGAAGCGGTCATAGACGCACAACGGTTCAAGGCAGTAACATCGAGATGTACCAATACAATGCCAAGCCTAAAGTCATGCGAATAGAAAAATTCAAGCGATCAAAATTGAAAAAAAGAAAAAAAAAATATATACATATATAAATGTGCCGATTACAAAACGCGAAACACAAGGTCATGGGATGCAAAGCTTTGTGAGCAGAGTCGAAGCATACAGGCCACAAAGCGTAAAACAAGAGTTTACTTAACAAGCGACCCAATGGCCGATGAATTTGGTCATGCACGCATATCAATGAAGCCGTATGCGTCGGTTATTGTGAGAAGCATCGAACATGTCGACGACACACCGAAGATCTATCTTGTTAGCGAGAGATCGCTCAACCGCGAGCACAGCTAGATCGCTTAGTCGGTTATTGGCCATCCTGTTGCGAAGATAGGTCTTCACTCTCCGCAGACATGAAAACGTGCGCTCACAAGATGCAGACGACGCTGGTATGGTAATAGCGATAACAGCTAGCTTGTGTAGCTCGTGGAAGGCGATCTTAAATTCTTCCAGAACTGCTACAAACTGCAGCAGTGTCTTAACCTCGCACTTTCTCTCAGCTTCTATGCGCTGAAGAACTTTCCCAATTAGCTTGCACTCAACTTCAACGCTCTCGATGTCGCACGAATAGTGCTCAGCAAATGGCTTCAGTAAACAAATGTCTAGAAAGCTCTTGCTTCGTGGGTGGAGGGCAGTCATTCCGCTGAGGACATCATTATTTCCAGTCAACCTTCTTTCCAGCTCGGCAAGAATGTGGTCAAATACTGGAAGGAACACCCTTACCCTAAAAGCTTCCTTTGCCTCGCAAGGCTCGTCTTCAATTGCTCTACCTTCACTGAGTACATACTGCTGCAAATGAGCAGGTAGACGCGTCTCTCTACCTGCTTGTCTCGACGGCACTCCGTTTTCTTCGGCAATCTTACACCCCTCGGCCCAGACAGATTCAAAAGCTTGTTCCGAATTCCTCATATCGGCAAACTCATCAATGGCAGCACGCGCCATGAGGCACGCTCGAGCCAGCTCGCAATCTTTGTTTTGCAGGAAGTCGGAAAGGATCTTCAAGCGGCTGAGGACTCGGGTGAACAAGCATAAGTTAAAAAGAAACGAGATGTTCAGCTGCTCAAGGAGACCTCTCGCCTCAGTTGCCCGCTTACTCTTTGTAGCAATGACTTCAGCGAGAGATACGAGAATGGCAGGAAAAGTCTTCATTACCGCCGTGCACGCAGCGACCCGGCAGGCCCACCGGGTATCGCTGAGGCGCTGCAGTTCGACGACGGACAAACGAAGCCTTTTTTGAACGTCTACGAATAAGGAGTGTGTTGCGGATCCACTCATGAACACATACAGGCTCTCTAAAAGAGCGAAAAAATCCCTTGCAGCCCCTCCCCCTCCCCTCTCCCAGGCTCCTCCCCTCTTTTTAGGCCACGCCAGCGGCAGACCAGCGACATCTTTACCCCTGAACAGTGCCTGGACACCCATTAAGTTTCCGCTCATGACACTAGCGCCGTCATAGGTCTGCGCAACGCACTCTTGAGAGTCAATTCCACACCGATTTAACGCTTCGTAGATGTAGTCCAAGAGCGACCGAGCGTTCAATTGCTCCGCGTTGCGAAATCCAAGAAATCTCTCAAAAACGGCTCCCCTTACGTAGTACCTTACTACGACCGAAACTTGCTCTGTCTTGCTAATGTCTTTGGTTTCATCAACCATTAACGCGAAGCACTGAGAGCCTTTCATCTCTTCCTGTATAGCAGCCAGTGTCAGGCGGCTCAGAATCCCAAGAATTTCATCTTGGATTGAATGATGAACGTACCTGGCATTGGCTGGCCCATCCTTCAACTTCTTTTTTACGATCTCGTCGTACTTGCCAAGCAAGTTCATGAGCTCGAGATAGTTACCTTTGTTGTCACTCGTGTCACTCTCGTCATGCCCTCTCTGTGCTATACCCTGTACGGCTGTAAATCTAAGAATATCTGCCACTCTTTCAACATACATTCGGTTTTCTTGAACCTGTTTCGAATGCGCGTTGCTCAGGTGTGTGGCGACTGACTCGCCTGGTCCTCTGGACTTCATCTCTGTGTAAGAAACCCACGACGTTTGGCATGTCTTATGCGCGACTGAGTTATCGTGCTTCCTAAACCCCGATTCTTTGTCTAGAGCCTTCTTCCAGTTAGTGTACCCAGCGGTGACAAATGCAGATTTCTCATTGGTTACAGTAGAAAACATTCTACACGGGTAGCAGAAAGCCGCATCAAGTTGAGCGCTGTACTCCAACCAGGGAAACAACCCGTACCACTCTGAGTGAAAGCTTCGGCTCTCTTTGCCGTACTTCTTAGATGGGAATGGGTTTAGTAATGGCTGCCTAGGAAGCTCTGTCTTAAATTTGGAAAGATCCAACTGACCTGGAAACCTGGCACCAGCCTCAGAAGCGGTGAGTTCGGAAGCAGGACTAGGTTCCTCCCGCATCGCACACGAGGAGAACTCCTCATAGTCATTGTCAGGCTTGCCTTGTTCTGGACAGGATTCCTCTCTACAGGATTCATCTCCAGAGGAAGGCTCAGGATGCAGGTCGGTAGAAGTGGCGCTCCGTGGAATCACTGGGCCATCAGGGATTGGAGTGGACAGCTCGGGGGGAGTCGTCTGCTGCTGGGTGATCACGGCGCAATCTTCAGTTGAAGAGCGCAGCTCGGAGCGGTCGTCGTCCTTTTGTTTGGTTCGCTTGCCGGAAGTCGTAAAAAAATCGACGATGGACCTTTTTTGCGACATCGCGTAGTTTCTGGGATGACACAAACAAGCTCAACACTTCGCTTGTCAAGTTCAGCGATCGTCTCTCCGGGGCGTTGTCGTCGCCTCCGTCGTCACATCGTCCGGAGCAATTGATGCATTTGTCACGTGTAACAGCTTGACTCAGGAATCGCAGTTGATCCAGAACAGACTTCGAAAATGATTTGTAGGCGTCGAGACGGAAGGGGTCTGCTTTTTATAAAGGAATCCCAACTCACCAGGAACGTCGAAAAAGGGGAGGGCGACCGGTACCGAATGAGTGGCAGCTCAGATTATTGTGGTACCGCCCCCGTGACTCCCCATTCCTCAAATCCGCGTTCTTTAAAACCCTCTCCGAAGCGCACAATTATAATTGACCACGGAAAAATAAACACGAAGATGGTGGCGCCGAGAACGCGTTTCTGAGTGTTTGGTCCCCCATTTTACCTTGCCTACGGGGAAGCGATGTATCTGCGGCGATCCAGATGGTGACCTTGAATGGATATCCTCCGGCTTTAAGCTCTAGCCAGGCGGGCCGCTTTTGTGTTAGCTTTCTCGCGAGAGTAATTTGTTGGTAATTTTCTTCGTTTTCATCTCTCCTGCGCGTTCCTCTACCGCCCCGCACCCTCCCTTTCTTCCGCCCCCCCCCCCCCCCCCCCCTCTTCTTTCACTGGCTTGTAATGCGACCCCTTGCCCGGCGCTCCTGGTGTGCAGACCGAAATTTTTCGGAAGGGTACGTTGCCGTCCTGCTGCTTGACCCGCTTGTTAGAAGACAAAAAAAGAAAAAAAAATGGCGATTGACCTCCTTTCTGTCATTGTGTCTCCTTTGCGGTCATGAAATCGGGCTCAGCTGCTCATGTTAGGTTCAGCAGCAGAACTGTTGGGCGCTTTTTTCGTCTCCGTCATCATGAAGATCCTGGTAACAATTGCCACCGAGGCTCAGAACGCAGCAGAGCAAGAATGGCCCTTGAAAATGACTTACGTTGAGACCTGTGGGGCCAGTGTGGTCCAGGCGACAGTTTATGACCCTGCCCTTGGGACTGCCTTTGTATTCTCCGAAATACTTTCCAATGAATTTACTGGGAAATCCCAACAGACAAATAGACGAACAGGCGTTGTTTCCTAAGGCATCGCTTAAAGGCCCGCTCACCTCTTTACCCTACGCTTTCGGCCTTCCCTGTTTTGAGCGGTAGAAAGCACTCGATGCCGCCGCAGGGCAACCGGTGCATTCTGCGAGCACTATGGCCTCCATGTCGCCTCCGATAGGTCGCGCGGTAATGGCACGCACCCCAGAGCTTTGACGCACCCAAAAGAGGAAGAACCTTCACGCTTCCTGGAACATATTACACTCCCCAGGAAGCGAGCGGAACAATGGAGGGCCCACTTACACCAAGACAATCCAATTGAAGGAAGAAAATTACGCTGGACGTTGGGATGACGTCAAGGTCGCATTCGTGGATCTCGTAGCCGTGCTACTGAGTGTCAAAGCCAAGGCATTAGTAAAATCCCTCCAGACAAACAGCCAAAGCGGCATCGTCTACCAACCAAGGTCCCTCTCACCTCTTTCCACCTTGCTTCCGGCTTTTCCCTTTTGAGCAGTCCTCCACCTGGTGTCGCCGCGGGGCGGTGTAATCAGCGAACAACATCAGCGCCGTACCGCTGCTGAAGGTCGAGCGGCTATGGCACGCACCCAAAAGAGGGAGACGCGTCTGGTTTTCTGAAAATTCTTCCAAAAACCCGAAAGCTTATTCTCTAGGAAGGGGTCCAACAATGCAGGGCTCGATTCAACCGAAACAGGCCAATCAAACTAAGAAAAGGACGCTGTACGGTCACCAGTGCTATTGAGTGATGTGTCTCTTCTAAAGCTGTTTCTTCTAGAAATAGTGCCGTATTTCTCTCTTCTTATATTTTATCTGCCTGCTTTGCAGTGTTGTTCAGAGAACGGATATGAAGATGAAAAATGTGTGTGTGTGCGTGTGCGTGCGTGCGTGCGTGCGTGCGCGCGCGCACGCGCGCGCGTGTGTGTGTGTGTGTGTGTGTGTGTGTGTGTGTGTGTGTGTGTGTGTGTGTGTGTGTGTGTGTGTGTGTGTGTGTGTGTGTGTGTGTGTGTGTTTGGGGGGGGGGGGGGGGGAGGGTTCAGTTTCAGAGTGGTATGTCGTTTTTGTGTATCTCCGTCTGCCGGAGCTATAATTTCGAGAAATTCAGCAACATGCTGAGTATTGGTTTTAGTGCGAAAATAATGCAAAACTATAGTCACTTACACAGGGAAAAGGGACATCTTCAACGGGTGGTTAGAGGAATACAGAATAAGGAATACGCGGATACTATCTCACAACACAACACAAAATAGTGTTTGAATTTAGTTCTAACAAATTACAAAAAAAAAAAGAGAGAAAATATTGCATCACTGGTTCAGACATTGATCATGACTGCCTTTAAAACAATTGTAACGTGAACCATAATGTGATCAAAATAAAAACGTTACTATTGTCTTTTTTTGTTAATCAGGCAAGCAATCAAGACGGCGATCCTTCACGTAACGTCCGTCGAGCCCGATAAACAGACAGTGAAGAGGGCATCCGTGTGGCGGTTTTCGCCTTTTTTTAATGCATGATATATCATAACTTATAGGGTAAGAAACTCGTTTGACAGTCTTTTTAAACTTGTCTTGATTATACTGATAAGCTCTGACAGGCACAGAATGTGTTATGAATGAGCTAGGCATATGCTCTGTGGTTCTGCAAGCACGGCAATCACAAAATCGTGGCAGGCTTAACAAATTCCTTACCACTCATAACAAATCTAAACAAATTCTACCTGTGAGTGGTTGGCCAAACTACTATTAGCTTGCACAACCACACACCACACGTGCATAGCTCATTCATAACATGCTCTGTGCCTCCCCAACTTTATCAGTATGATTAAGACAATTTTTTCCTCCTCTAACCGAAAACAAACACAATGAATGTATTATATCACTATTCTGGTTAAAATAACCGAGACAAAAAGAGATAAGAAAGGGGAACTCTTGAGGTGGAAGCACCAAGCGGCCGCCTCAGCTTCAAAAATGAAACGTGACGGTCAGATACCTCCGCACGTTTGTACTTCATTGTTTTGACTAAATAAAAGTTGTACTGAAAAATTGCGTCTGTTGCTTCGAACTAATTATTGGTACAATATAAATAAGATAGGACAGGCGCAGGTGCTCGCCACGCGTCAAAAACCGCTGATCTTTAACTGTTCTGTGAAAGCTGTAAAGGTAGCCTAGTTCTCGCAGCGCTCCGTTCCCCTCACGGAACGAAGGGAGAGGGTGTGAAGCGGCGCGCTTTTCTTCGGTGTATCTCCATCTCTTTCTCTCTCTCTCTCTGTTTCTATACCCACTCTATCTCGAAGCACTAGGGGAACTATGGTAGCCTTGGCAGTGTAGCACATAGAAGTTGGGAATGAGCACCAAAAGGAAGTTTTCTGCTGGCTTCCAAGAGCGGATGCTCGGCGTCCAGCGCTCAAGTGCCCGTAATGTGCGACGTTAACTTGCCTCCCTGGAAAGCACGACCTTTGCGGACTGACCAAGCCCCCCCCCCCCCCTCCCCCCCCGACAGCTTTTTTGGGGGGGCAGACAGAAATTTAAGGGGGGCAACCGCCCACCCTTGCCCCCCTGTAGAGCCGCCCCTGCCTAGTATGCGAATGTTATCTCTCGCTGGAAGGGTTTCCCTCTCAAGCGTGAGCTCCATCCTGTATGGTGGGGGTTTTGTCGTGTTCTTGCGAAGCCCGCTGGGCCGCACGATCATGTATTCCGACTTCTCCGGGGAGCACGCGAGGCCAAATGTTTTGACCGTCCCGCTAACCATAGCTATTCCTTGCTGGAGGATGCCCTCCAGCTCCTCCTCAGACACCGCATCTGCCCAAAGCGTGATGTCGTCCGCGTAAAGGCTGTGGGATAAGCCGTGGATGGTGGCTAGTTTGTTTGGGAGTGTGAGGAGGGCGAGATTGAAGAGGAACGGGGATAGTACAGAACCCTGTGGTGTTCCCCTTCCTCCCAGTGCGATGGGTGGTGACTGTATGTCTCCTATGTTAAGGGTTGCTGTTCTGTCCGTGAGGAACGCTCGTATGTAATTGTATGTTTTGGTGCCTACCCTGATTCCGTTTAACGTCTGCATGATTGTTGTGTGGAGGACGTTATCAAAGGCCTTTTTGAGGTCGAGGCCCACTATGGCCCTGTATCTCCTAGTCTGTTCTGGGCCATATATCTGGTGATTGAGCTGCAGGAGAATGTCCTGCGTGGAAAGATTAGGGCGAAATCCTATCATTGAGACAGGGAGGAGGCGGGAATCCTCCAGATAGTTCTGCATCCGCGATAGGGTAACATGCTCGAAGAGCTTCCCCACGCATGATGTGAGGGAGATTGGCCTGAGGTTGTTTAGTGTGAGGGGTTTGCCTGGTTTGGGAATAAAGATTACTTTGGCGTGCTTCCATTCCTGCGGTAAGGTGCCCGCCTCCCAGCACTCATTAAAGAGCTGGGTCAACGCCTGAATGGAAGCATCATCCAGGTTTCTAAGAGTTTTGTTATTAATTTTGTCCTCTCCCGGGGCCAATTGGGTACGTATTTTGTGTAGGGCTGCACGGACCTCCGATTCCAGAATGGGAGAGTCTAGATCGGCGTTGGGAAGGCCGGTGTAGTCCTCTAGCGTGGTGGGGGGGTTATGTCCAATGTACATGGCCCGTAGGTCTTGGAGGAGTGTTTGCGTGCTTCCATCGTATTGATGGAGGAGACGGGAGAGATTCTTCCGCTGCTCCGTTTTTGTGTTGTTTGGGTCGAGGAGGTGTCTGAGGAGGTGCCAAGTTTTGGCGTTCCCCAGGCTTCCTCGCAAACTATCACAAATCTGGTGCCAATGTTGACGCGTGAGGGTATTAGCATAGTCCTCAATTTCTTGATCCAATTGAGCGATGCGTAGCTTGAGTTTGCGATTGTGTTTTTGTTTTTTCCAGCGTTTGTGTAGGCCGTTCCGCGCTTCCCACATGCGCAGTAGGTGGGAGTCCACCTCTTGCAAAGACATTGGCTCTTCCTGAATGGCGCGCGTAGTGTCGCTGACGTCTGTGAGCAGTGCGCGCGACCATTCCTCGAGGGACGCGATCTCCGTGGGAGCCGTACTAAGCCTATTCTGGCGAAATTTGTCCCAATCTGTTATTTGTTTTGGCGCTGTTTTTCTGCGGCTTTCTGTAGTCTGTAGGCAGATGCTAATTAGATAATGGTCGCTGCCCAGACATTCCTGCGTGTTTTGCCAATCTGCGCGTGGCATGTTTCGGGTGAACGCTAGGTCGGGTGATGTGTCGATACACACGCTATTGCCTATTCTCATGGGAGTCTGAGGCTCGTTCAGGAGGGTCATACTCTCCTGTTGAGCAGCCCAACAAACCACTGGATGTCCATAGGACATCCGATAGATATCCGCTCAAGATATTCGGACGTCCCCAAGAGATCCGTAGCCGTCCGATGGACGTCCCCAGGACATCCGTCAGAGTGCCAAAGGTAACAAATTTGCATGTCCGTCGGACATCCGAAATGGGATCCTTCTGCAGGCCAATTTCGGATATTCGGATGGCATGCCTGAATTCATTCTACTTTAGCCCAGATATGTTGTAAACCAGTCAAAGCACTAACCTGAACCAATTTCTACAGGGCAGAATTTCTTCGGATATCCCGTGAACATCCGATAGAGATCCAATTCAGATATATCGAACATCCGTGGGACATCCGTATACGTCCGACGAACATCCCCAGGACATCCGACAGAGCGCCAAAGCGAACAAAATTGCACATCGGTTGGACATCCGAAATGGGATCCCTCTGCAAGCCAATTTCGGATATCCCGGGAACATCCGATAGAGATCCAATTCAGACCCACCGAACATCCGCGGGACATCCGTGTACGCCCGACGAACATCCCCAGGACATCCGACAGAGCGCCCAAGCGAACAAAATTGCACATCCGTCGGACATCCGCAATGGGGATCCCATTGCGGATGTCCGACGTACGTGTAATTTTGTTCTACAGACCAGTTTTGGATACGCAGATAGCATGCCTAAATCCGTTCTACTCTTGCCTGGATGTTGTAACCAGTCAAAGGACGACCCTGAGCCAATTTATATTGGCAATATGGTTTTATTACTACACTCGTGTCCTATCCATACAGGTGCTTCTAGTGGCCCTACTCTTCTGATTCATCTCGGAGGTTGGTGTTCAATCTTTACGCATTGGGAAACCATCTTGCCCTGTGTTATCTTGCAGCTGTCTTTTCATGGCCCTAGCAAAGAACCAAAGAAGGTATCAGTGCGGGAAATTTCATAGTACATCCAGAAAGTACCTGTAATTATGTGGCATACTGTAAGGTGACAATCCCCGGTGTGGGCAGGTCCTCTCTGCACCGTATGGCCCTAAGAAAACAAGTTAGAGATGGTATCGGTATGAGTGAAGGTAAATTTTGCAACACTTGGAGGTTACCTGTTGCTGAGTAGTGTAGTGTAAGGTGTTCGTCCCTGGCATGGCAAGGTCATTTCTGCACCAAAATGAAGAGATGAGTGCACGCAACTTTCACACCAGAATCGGAACGTACCTGTAGCTGAGTGGCATGGTCTAAGGTGCTACTCCCTGGTGTGGTGGGCAGCCCTTGCTACACCGCATGGACCTAACAAATCAAGTTGAAGAAAGTATGAGTACAGACAAATTTCACGACACTTTTAAAACCATTTAGTAGCCGAATAGCATAGTGCAAGGTACTAACTGTTTTACCATAACATGATAAAGAGCAAATGCTGCAGCCCCGCAAGACAGTCAGAGCGAGTTGCATCACAATGTAGCCGTCGCGCATTCCTCCCGTGGAGTGCTGTCATGTACTTTGCTCTGTCACTTTAATTGGCTCACGGGGGCCATAGTTTTCACCCTTAGCCAAGTTATGGTGAAGAGGAGTAAGAGTGGTAACTTGGGCGAGTTGGTGATGCCCCCTCCCCCCATTACAACCAAAAAAAGTGCAAAAATTGGATGAAGGATGAGTGAGAGGAATGTAAGCGACAAGCGCTGACTTGCAACTGAATTTTTATTAGGAAAAAACATGAAACACCGCTAATCTTATCAATGTGATTACAATATTGCTTCGTAACGGTGTCCTTATGAAGCAATATTGTAATCACATCGATAAGATTGGCAGTGTTTCGTGGTGTTTAATGTTTCTTCCCAATAAAAATTCTGTTGTAAGTCAGCACCTGTCGTGTACATTCCTCTCACTCGTCCTTCGTCTCATTTTTGCACTTTTTTTGGTTGTAACAGAGTATAGTCTTTGCCGGGAAGGGGGGGGGGGGGGGGGGCTCATTTTTACATCTCGTGACCCTAGCAAAACCATTTGAAGGGATGAGTGCAGACAACTTTCATTAAGGAAATTTTACCATATTTGCCACACAGTTTGACCTTGAGGTGAATATTAAAGATGCCTATACAACACTGGTTCCATAGTTAAAAAATAGGCACAAAATACAAGCCTTTGAACTGTAATTTTGTGGCTAATTACCAAAAAATGTTGCTTCACAGATCTGGAAACAAATAGACACACATAACAATGTTCAAACTTGCCTTGCACACGACTTGACTGGTAGTAAAAAAGGATAGCACATTCCATAGTAGAAATTACCAGGGACATTTTTATGGTCCATTGACTCCGTTAATGCCTGCTCACTGGCCTTTCCTGAAAATACAAAAAAAAATGGGTTAAAAAAAAAAGTCAAAAATAAATTTGTTCTCAAAAAAGGAGTGCCACTAAAATACAAAAGCAGAGCATTAAATGTACTTGCACACCTTCTTTCCAACAAATCCACCGTAGGCCACTTCCTGCCAACTATGGAGTGCGTCCAGTGTACGACGAGGCACCAAGAAAGTGATCCGTGCAAGGAAATTTAACATATCCATGTTGAAATTATGTTCTTAAATTGCATCATACTGTAAGCCCCATAATCATCTGGGTGAACTTTGCAGTGATTGGACTACAATGTGCTCTGCAAGAGGGCAGACGTGCATGCATTTTTCAGAGGTAGGATATATATAGCGATGTTAATCACGAAACTGACAAAAAAAAGTGCAGACATGATGGTGTGCCTTCATGTGTGTGCAGATAGTATATAATCAACATCAGTTTATGTATGGTATTAACAACAACATATATCTGATTAATTGAGAACCTTTAATTTTACTGTGCTAAACACTGTGCACTATGCACCTGCTTGAAATCCACTGTAGGAATGCAAATACGGTATAGGCGCTATTTCGCATTTTGCTTCTGCAGAATCGAGTCCAGCACCAAACTATGCCCCATGAAAGCACACATTGACCCACCATGACCCACTTCATTCTAAACGCGAGGCTTTCAGCGCCCCCGCCAAGCACGCGCGAGCGTGCAGTGCAAGCAAAGGTTCAGTGGAACATGCTTGTGCTAGTAGCTTCGGCTTCGTTTGCACACGAAGTGAAACATTAGTAGCTTCGATCAAAGCCATTCATGTGTAAACAAAACACGCAAAAAAAAAATACGATTGAACTTTGGAGAGCAAATTCCATGGTCTACTTTATGATTAAAAAAAGCCTGAGACTGAGGAACACATATAAGGGGAAAAACACACACGGCCCCAAACATAGCTGGAGTTCAAGCCGAACTCGCTTGCACCCCAGAGAGCAAGCAGCCCTCTGACACCGTACCCGGGCTGCACGGCGCGGCGTCAGGTCCACACCGACGACACAGCAGCTGCAGCTCCACCGCCCTCACGTTCTCAGGCCTCAAAAACACAATTGTTCACTGTCCCTGAGAGCAGCCACGCGCATAACTTCCAAAAAGTCACTCACCTTCCGATTTCCTTGTAGCTGGGCTCGATGAAATGGAGATTAGTGGCGAGCCGGAGGCTGTCAATCACTGGTCCTAAATCGAGACTCGCACTTGCTTGCTTGCACAGACTTGAGAGGGGCTCATTCGTGTCTGCTCGCTTTTGATCTTTAAGTTTTAAAAGTGAATATAACACTCGCGAAAAGAAAAAAGCGAGCGCGGTAGCAGGATAACAGCAGGAACAGCAGAGACAGCGGCGGCGGCGGTACTGGCGGGCCGAAAAAGGCGCCATTGGCTAGAATAATTCTGCAGTAAATACATATGAAGCTTTTTCTTGATATTTCCAGATATTAGCTATTTATTTAGAGAAATTTCTTTTACAACTGAATATAAAATGTTGCTAAATTTATTTTGTTAGTAAGTTTTTGATATTTAGGGTCTACGCGTTTACTTTTCATTTTTCTCATTTACTGCGGAGATGCACGCCTCAGATGCCAGGGGAGTGCAGCTTCCAGTTTCCTCCTACCATGGCGACGACGCTACCGACGCGGCACGTTGCGGAAGAAGGGCAAACTAAGTATTGTGTTGGCGCGGCACTCGCAACAGATGGCGCGGTACTCGCCACAGATGGCGTACCCTCCCCTCCAAACACGCTACACACACAAAAACCGCCCCGTCAAAACGGTGCCCCCCTCTCCGTCTTCTTCTTTTCTTTTTTTTTTTTTTTTTTTTTTTCGTTTTTCCCGACCGAGCTGTTTTGGCGTACGCTTTGCGCGAAGGCTGAGCTTCCCCTCCCACTTGGGGGCTGCTTTGTGCAAAAAAGTAAGACACGGATTGTGCTTTTGTAGTGGAGCACTACCGCCACTGAAGCGGCGATACTAAAAATTGGAACCACGACAAAGTCGACGTTTCAAACGTGCTATGCCGCCCCACTAATGAGATTTTTGTTTCCCATGCCGTGCAGCTATCGTTTCCAAGTTTTGAACGCTGTAAGACTCTGCAGCATGTTCGGTTCTCTTACCAGAAGTAAAAGAGAGCACGTCACTTTCTCCCGGAATACCGCGATTCCGCCGTGTAATCGCAAATCAAAAATCTAACTATTTCCCAATCTGCAGCCGCATATGGCGACAACGAGAACCATGGCGTGATACACAAGATTTTAAGTAATTTGAAACGAAAAAATACTTTTAAAAGTCCGTATTCAGTACTCTCTCTGAAATGCGGGAGAAGTGACTGTCAGAAAAAGCGGACCAGCTGTTTAGAGCATGGGTAACAAAAATAAATAAGTCTTACTAAACAAAATAATTATAGCTAAAAATCTTTAGAATAACCGGGAGGGGAAAATATATTTGGAAGAGGTTTGAAGAAACAATCGACCCATCGCAATACGTTTATCTAATTAACAAACGAAGTAAGAGGGGGAAAAATCTTAAACACTCGACTGAACAAATCATTAAAATCAATTTCGGAGCGATGTATGGCCCGGGGATAATAACAAACTTTTTTTCAATTACGAGTTTATGTGATCAGAAGTATTTCTAATGATAATGTGGCTAGGGTGACCAGACGTCCCGTTTTGGCCGGGACAGTCCCGTTTTTGAGATTCGCTTCTGCCGTCCCGTCTTTTTGTCCCAATAAAGAATCATGTCCCGTTTTCGAGACATGATTCTTTTTTTTTTCTTTTTTTGTCTATATAACTGCGCAGACTTTTACAACCGAGTCTTGTAGGATAAAGTCCTGCTTAGGAAACTTCAGTCGTCGGAAAAATACACCCACACCAACGAAGGACGCGAAGCAGTGTGACTGTTCCCTAGACTTTAGGGCTTAGCGCAATATGGTAACGGTGTGAAATGAGAGCAGTTATTTCAATAAAAATTTTCCCCCAATCTCAATCTGTAGCCCTTGCCCCCCGCTGGGATGTCCCGTTGTCTACCTTGAGGAATATGGTCACCCTAAATGTGGCACATGAATAATTAAGTTTCTGAAAGGTTGATCAGTAAATCATTTGAATGCAGGCAGTGAGATACATCCGTATTTTCTTTTCAATTTCTTATATGTTGTCACAAAAGCGGATTCCGAGTGTTTTCGGAGTTTATTTCTCGTGAATTTGGAGGGTGTTTTTTGGAGTTTGTTTTTCGCTGAAAATTCCAAGTTTATCGAGGTAATTTTTGTCAAATTCCCAATCTTTTAAATTCGGATTTTATAATCCTGCTTTGGTATAATTAAAAAAAAAATAGAGTCCGAATACCGTGACCCACTGTTTTGAAGGAACCTCAAAGGGCAAACCCCTTTTGTGAGTAGTTTTATATATTTCAAAGGAAATTGAAGCGGCATGTCCTCAGGGCCAGTGACACTGTGCTCGTATAAACTTTATTTGTAAAACACCGTTGTTTTTTTTTTTTTTTTTGTGTATGGCTTTAAAGCTTCGTGGGTCTTTTCTTTTTTTTTTCTTTTTTTTTTAAGAAATTTGCATTGGCGGAAAATGTACCGGCGATTGTTCTTAGATTTTTTTCGGATTTACCCGAAAACACAGAGCCCTCACGAATGACCGTCAGGAAAATAAATCCCCCAAAAAATAGAAAGGAAGGCGGAGTGTTGACGACTGTCATGTTCGATTCGCGATCAACCTCGAACCTTTAGCGACAGGTCGTCGATACCTTTTTGAGTAATCTCTGAATAACATAACCAGTCAAAATATAAAAAGAATGTTTAGTATTCATCGCCAAGAATTTTGTAAACATTCCCAAACATGCCTCTGCAGCCCCAATCTTTCATTATTTTTCTCTCGAGTAGAGTTTTTGGAGTACATCGTATTCAAATTTCAAATCGATGCCATATACAGCACGTGTCATTGTCTTCCAAGCGAAGTATAATTTATAGATAAAAAAAAAAACAATAAAAAATTACAGGTTTTCAAATTTGGTACAGGTTCGGCAAGCTGTGAAGAAACACACACACACACACACACACACACACACACACACACACACACACACACATATATATGGGTGATTTCATTTGAATTCGACCAAACTTGTCGGGGGGGGGGGGGGGGGGGGTCTCTAGATTTAATCGTAAAAAATATATATGATACCCGAATCCTTGTGATGAAAGAAACTGCCTTTGAAAAAAATTAGAATTGTATAGTTTGAGAGAAAAAAATTCTGAGGCGCTGCAGGGTAGAAAACGTCAAATTCCCAATTTGATTTTATCTCGACTTTAGCCGCCATTTACAAAATATAGAATTCTTGCAGAATTATTATATTTATTACGCAATATTTACGCAGACTTGGCTATTTTTAGAGGTAAATTTCTGTCTTCTGTTATTTTAAATTAATTTTCTAAAAAATCTCAAACATGCAACCTAGAGCAAGTGTGACGCAACTTCGGACAGCTATACAAAACGAACGGTAGGGCGCAATGACGTGAGACAGATATCTGTGCGTAGCTATCAATGTAAGCTATCGATTGACATGTATTTTCTGGTTATTGTGTTTACCGTGTTGTTTTTATTCTGCCACAAATATAGACAAAAATGAAAAATATGCAAATTTTGAAGTCAATTTTCTCAAAAAAGCCATTTTTTATTTCGTTCATGCTTTTTTAATTTATTGCCCAGATTCTGCTTAATAACCGGGTATAAATATTGCTTGACCTTTTTTTGTTGTAGTTTTAAGACAACCAGTTGAATAAGTCATTTTTATCGCGTAATACCAACCTCCGGCTCCGGTATGCGGGCTTCACCGCAACATTGATAATTGGCTCAGCAATATCAGATTTCACTGAAAACTACTTTACCCCGTTGAATTTTTACTAATATATTTTTAAAAAAATCAGTAACGTCATAAAGAAATGAGAGATGGCTGAATTGACGAAGTGATGTCTGCGAAGTCACAGCTTGTATTTTCGAACGTCGCCACGACAACGTTTTACTACTGAGGTTGCACGAAACTTATATATTTAAATTATTTGTTTGAACATTGTGCCGTGATAAACAACAACAAAAGTAAATTTAGTTAACATCAATGTTAACTAGCCTAAGCGAGTGGAGAGATCCAAGACGTTTCATCCGTTTCGATCATGTCGGGTTGCATTCTACGGCACTATCCAGTCCAGAAAAACAATATCCCCGTTTATGCGTTTCGGACAATCTTTATTTTATACAAACATTATCGGAAAATCGGCTCGAATTTTTTTAATTTACCGCATGGCATTCTTTCGCCTATCCTTCATTGGCCCTTAGTATTCCGAGGTACGTGAAAAAAAAATTGACTACATTTTGTCCATCCTTCGGCTTTTGGACTACTTGTTGCATACGTTTAAATTTTTTGGGCTACGCACAGCATATCGGAAGTTGCTTTTCAGCTTACAGTAATCATACTCTTTTGTTGGCAGTATGCAATAAAACATTCATAGGTAACAGTTTAACAAAATCACTCTATTTATTGAGTAATTTATTTGGGTTAACAAGGCACACCTATAGAAACACACAATTTTTCACAGAAGCGCAAATGTACAAGAAGAGGCTTTAACAACAAAACAAAACAAAGCCGTAGATCATCTGAGAGTTCCGCACGTGCACCACAGAGGTTCATGCATTAAAGGAGCTGTGCAACGATATTCAATTGGAGTGCTTTTCTCTCTACACGAGCTTACTGGCACACCTGGGACTCAAGGATACTCACACGCAACGCCATTGGCCAAGAAACTCCTTTGTTGCGGTGTAATTTCAAGGACAAAAGCGATCATTTTCATTCAATCTCTCCTTTGCAAAATTTGATGACGTAACTCGGGGATCGCAGTACACCCAAGTGACAATATTTGAATGCGGTTCATAGATTGGACCCGAGCCCTGCGTGGGCACTCGACTTGGGCTCGTGACAATTGCTAGCTCGAGAAGCATTCGGGTTGTGACCCGTGTCCAATCGCTGCAACGACGACAACAGCCGAGCCATAACAATGTCTGGAACTCAGCGCGTGTCCTGCGCATTGCCAACCCCAGCGCGTGGCTATGATCAACACTGGCGGCATATAATCGGCTCCAGATCACGTGGCCGCTTGTTCTGGCTGCGAGTTGAGGGGGTGACCGGTGCTCGTTTTTCTTAAATTTTTTTCAGGGACTTCCATTGCGTGGGGTGAAAAACGAACGCGTGTTTCATAGGTCATTAACGTTAGGGATCCGTTTTAAGCGGTATTTGTGCACAGTACAAAAATTGTTGCATCGCTCCTTTAAGACGAAGATAGAACAGTTCGCTCAAGCTGCACTTCGCCCCTTTCGCGTCG